GAGGTCAACAGGGAGCCTTGCACATCATGCCAAGGGACAAGGGTGTCCCGGGGGGTCCAGGCCACAGAAAAGGGAGGACCTCAGGTATGCAGACCTAATACTCCCAGCGGCCTTCCCTCACAAACCCCATCAATTCTTGAGCGTCTACACAGGCCTGGCTCCCAGAGCCCAATCCTGGGGTTTGTGTTTCTTTAAAGTCAGACTCGCCACGCTCCATATTGTACAGAACCATGGCACCAATACAAACCTCATCCATGCCTGCTCTGCAAACCCCGCTCCAGTGCCAAACCACCCCCAGAAGACCATGCCAGTCGCCTCGGTGCTCTGAGAACATCCTTTGAGAAAGGAGCGCCCATCCCACCAAACTTGAAAGCCACCCTCAGTGTCTGTCTCCCTGGGAATCGCTTGGGGCCTGATTCTGCATTAATTACCCAATGACACCAATTAGCACTGGTCTGCAGGCTCCCTCCAGCCCCAACCCCCACCGGCAAAAGCAGGCCAGCCCCCAAACAAAATCAGACTGTGTGTGGCTTGTAGATGCACTCGAAGGAAACCAGGTCTGAGGCCGTAAGCAGGACGTGGGCATGGGCACGTAAATGCGTGTTTATTGGACACCTGCTGTGTGCTAGGTACTGCATCAGATGCTGAGGATAAACAGGTAAGCATGCTGCAGGTCTTGCGACGCGCTCGAATAAGCCAGACCACAAGGAAGGCCAAGGGAAAAAAAAAGGGAAAGAGACAGTCACTCAGGATGACAAACTGTCACCACTTTCTGTTTTCTTTCTTTCTTTCTTTCTTTCTTTCTTTCTTTCTTTCTTTCTTTCTTTCTTTCTTTCTTTCTTTCTTTTCTTTTTAAGAGATTTTTTGCTACAGGGCAGGTGCACTCACCCTAGAGACAAACAAAAACTGAAAAATCCCCAGGAGGGATGGCCACGCCTCCATCCCTCCTCTTCCATCCTCCTCTCAGGATTTAGGACACACAACATACACGTGCCCTGCGTGAGTTTCCAGACACTGGGTTTGGGACTCGAACCGCGGTTTGCCACGTAGGAGTCGAGCGCCTTAACCACTATACCACCTACTGATCTCTATTTGCTTCTTAAGACTTACCAGTTTCCAGCTTTAATTCATTTTAAAACTACGGGTCTCCTTAAACGAGACTTTTAAGAGAATCTATTACTACATCTCAGTAGCGTGTCTCAGAGCATGGCCTTTGGGGTGACCCCAGAAATGTAAACATGGTGGGTCTCACTCCAGATCCACTGAGGCCCAGTCTTTGTGGACTGGCTTCCAGGGAGCTGCAGTTCCCCAAGGATACCTGCACCCAGGAGGGCTCAAACACCTTAGATGCCCAATGTCCTGATAATGAAGAGATGACCGACCAACGCCACCTGACTCGTTTCTAATCTTTCTTTACCTTCTTTCAAGAGGGTTGAGGAAGTATGTCTGGGATCCCGTAAGACATGACCGAAGGGACAGACTACCTCTGATGAGACACACGCCTGTGCCCAGAGTCCTGCAGGGAATTTCAGGGCACCCAGCAATTCCCTTGTCCGTGGAATGAGAGCCTTAGAGTCTGAGAAAGGGACCAGCTGGTGACGTAAGAGTAAAGCATGACGATCTGCAAGGGTGACCCGCATGGGAAGGCTCCGGGTTTGTGTCTGGAGAGTCCCCTGAGTACACAGGGCCCCCATGTGCCCATGACCCAGAGCCACTGAGGTTGGGGCTGGCCCACAGCATCAAGACTCTACGAAGACTGACGCTTCTCTTCCTGACTCGTGGAATAAAAAAAACAAAGAAGCTTTTTTTAAAAAAATGTTTGGGGGGCAGCAGATGGAATAGCGGTTACATCACTGGACTCTCCGACTCCCACATGGCTGACCACAGTTCGCATCCTGGACATGGCGACTTGAAAATCACCTCGGGCGTGTGTGTGTGCGTGTCCGAGACCCCAGGAGGAAAAGGGGGGTTTTAAAAGGGATTGCAGCATGGCCATCCCCAATTGGGCAGGGCGGGGGGGGATAGATTTCTCGCTTCCCCTCTCACTGTCTCTCTCTGTCTTTCTGGTGACCACACACACCCTAAAGGAAAAAAAAAGTGTTTGGAGAAAATGAGATTCAAATCCGAGTTTATTTTGGTGCAAAAAATTGTGAATTTCATATACAGTTTTTTCATATGTGTTTTACATGAATTATTTTTATTTTTTAGGTTCTTGCCTTAGGTGTTTGTATTTACTGAAGAGACAGAGAGCAGGAAAGTGAGAAACCACCCCAGGGAAATGGCCATGCCACAATCCCGTCTCCTCCTGGGATTCTGCACATGTCCCTGGTGGAATTTTCAAGCCGCCAGATTCAGGATTCGAACTGCAGTCTGCCATGTGGGAATCCAGTGCCTTAACTATCACATCACTAGCAGGACCCTTCCATGAACTTTTTGAAGACCCTCCCACCTTGGCTCCTGCTGCCTTAAAAACAGACACTCAAAGCATGTCCAATGCCCATTGGAATGGACCAGATCCACCCAGAGCAAGCAGGAACCTGGCCTGCCACAGATGGAGCTGACAGGGTTGCACCGTGCATTCTCACACGAGGCTCCTGGCTAGCAAGGACGCACACGCACAGGCACACACACACGTCACACACACACACGCTTCCTGCCAGTGTAGTTCCTGAACTGGGCCCTGCAAACTGCAAACTGCGCGGGCGAGCAGGGAGAAGGCGGGGAGCAGGACAGCCGGTTGCACGCTGGCCCGCCTCCCTGCACCCCCACATTTTGGATGCCTCAGACTTTGGAGTCCGGCAGCCTGCTCTGGCGCCCTCTCGCTTAATTGAACAATCTAATTCCCAGAATGGGAAGCAGATTACTAAAAGCTACGGAGGATGAATTGCTCTTTTGTTCCACCAGACACTATTTGGAAACATCCTCCAACTATTTTCTTTCGGTTTCACCACCGTGGACTTTAACTAGGAACGGACCTCGGGTTTCTAAAGGCAAGGGGGCTCCAGGGCCAGGTTCTCAGCCCACAGGGCTGTGGGGTTGTTTTGAAACCCACAAGGACGGCCTTTGAGAGCGTGGGGGCTGGGGCTCTCAACTCCGGAGACTTGGAGAAGGCACAGCTCTTCCTGGGAAAGGGCCTTCGTAATGGCCCGCCCCCACGAAGTGCTGGGGCAGCAGGAAGGTCTGAATAAGGAAGAGCCTGCTGCCAGCACTCCGGCCAGAAGGACCAGGGACAGACCTCCCGCCACTGGTGAGGGGGCAGGAAAGGCTGAAGACTAGATCAGGGCTCTTCGGAGGGATTTCTTTTTCTTTTCTTTTCTTTTCTTTTTTTTTTTTTTTTTTTTGGGGGGGTCTTCCTCTCGGCCGCGGGCCGCCAGAAAGACAGAGAGACAGAGAGACAGAAAGTGAGAAATCACCCCCCAGGGGGAATGGCCACGCCGCAATCCCTTCTCTTCTATTCTCCTCTCAGGATCTTGGGCACGCACGTACACGCGCCCAACGTGAGTTTTAGCCACCAGGTCTGGGACGCGAACCGTGGTCAACAACATGGGAGTCCAGTGACATAGCCATTATGCTAACTGCTGGTCCCTTCAGGGGGATTTCTTTACATCACTGATATTTCCCTACTATGTGCCAGGCACTAACCAGACTCTTCGTGAACACCCTTTTCAGGCCACAGTAGACTATGCCTGCAGGCTGGGGTCTCAGAAGTTGGAACTGGGCACGAGGCCTCTGCAGCCCATGCCACCCAGAAGGGCGGGCCTCAGACCCCAGCCCTGCTCTTTGACCAGCCTCGCCACCTTAGCTAAGTGACATCACCCTACGAATCTCGGTTTCCTTATCTGTAAAATGGGAATCACAGTACC